TTGGGTGTGAAATTGGGTGACATAAAAGTAAATTGTCTGCTGTATGCTGATGATGCAGTGCTTATTGCACCATCAGAGGCAGAACTGCAGGCATTAGTCACGTGTATGAAAGAGGAATGTGAAATTAAAGGTCTCCGTTTGAATGCTAATAAAACTAAGGTTCTGGTATTTGAAAGGGACGAAGAGAGAACGAAGTGTGAAATATGGGTAAATCAGGAATGTCTAGAACAGGTAAATGAAATTGTATACTTGGGGAGTGCTTTTAGCCGGGATGGAAGATGTGATTTAGATGTGGACAGGCGTGTCGCTGCAGGGAACAATGTCAATGGTGCCCTGACTGCGTTAGTCAAAAGGCAAGGCGTAGCGAAGAGTGCACGCCTTGCAATACATAACGCAGTGTTGGTACCGACTTTGTTATATGGCAGCGAAACCTGGGTATGCCAGAAAAAGCATATAAGTAAGTTGAATGCAGTGGAGATGCGATCTCTTCGTAAAATGTGCGGCGTTATCATGGCCGACCGAAAGCGAAACGAAGAGATTCGCAATATGGCAGGTTTGAAAGATGACCTTATCACAAAAATTGATAAGGGCGTGCTTAGGTGGTTTGGGCACGTTGAGCGAATGAGTGAAGACCGAATGGTGAAGAAAATATATAGCGCGAAAGTTAATATTAAAAGGTGTCGAGGTAGACAGACTCTAACTTTCGAAGACCATGTGAGCAAATTGCTCGAAGAGGGTAGGGTCAAGAGTACTCGGTTACCTAGACGTGCATGCATGAAGAAGATAATGAATCTGAAAGAAGCGAAAGAGGTTTGTAAGGATCGTGACACTTGGCGATCTGTTCTCTCTGGCTACCCCGTCAGGGATTGTGCGTGAAGATAAGTAAGTAAGTAAGTAAGTATTAATAGAAAACATTTTTAATTAACTAACTGATCGTGGCGACTTCGCCAGCGTGGAATTTACTACGATTTTATAGGTTTTAATTTTTTTTCGCGGAACCCTAATTATTTTTCTAAAATAAAAGTATCCTAACCAAAACTCCAAACCAAAAATCCAAATAGCTGCTGTTGTAAGGAGTACTCCTTACAACAGCAGCTATTTGCCAGTGAAAGTCACGTCAAAATCAGTCTAGCCGTTTCGGACATTAGCCGGAACAAACAGACAGACACACAGACAAAAACTTTAAAAATTGTTTTTTTTTTTGTTATTGGTACCGTAAATATTTTCATATGCATTTAGTAAAAAGCTGTTATTTTAACATTACAAACAGACACTTCAATTTTATTTATTTGTATAGATAATGATTTTAATGATTTTGAAGCTTTTTATATTATTTATTTTCTTTATATCATTAGGTATCTTATTATAGATGGGTATGTATAGGCAAAATATACTTTTTCGGATTTTAACTGACTGATTTTTGAACTTTTAATCTCAGAGGATACCTTTTATTATTTAAATTTTCAAACAGTGATAGGTTTATATGGATAAACAGTCGTTTTATAGATAAAAAGACGGGGAAAAGCTTCTATTGTGTTCACCATGAAATATAAATCAGGAAACTTTAACAACACGGTGTAAGAAGTGATGCTCTTAAATTAATTATTTCGTATTTAAGTAACAGAAGGCAAAACGTTGTCATTAATAGTATGAGTTCTTCCGGGTCGATAGTACAAATGGGCGTGCATCAGGGCTCAATACTCGGCCCCTTTCTGTTTCTTGTATATATTAATGACTTACTTTTTGACTACTGAACCAGACAGATATGAAGTACAGGTTACCTCTCCTTTGGTTACATCTGCCCACTGTCTGGTGAAATCTGTATCGTCATATTCTCCATCTGATTACGAGTCCCAAGGTGTTCGACGAATATGGCGGTATAAGTCAGCTGATTGGGATGAGATACGATACTTTTTTGCATCTTATCCTTGGCGGAAGGTCTGTTTCTCTTCTGCGGATCCGTCGAGCTGCGTGGTTGCGATAACGGATGTGTTGCGTCTAGCTATGGCGTATTTTATCCCCTTCTCTGACGCTCCCACAGGTAGCAAAGCTCGCCCATGGTTTAACGCTGAATGCGCCCAAGCTGAAAAGGGCAAGCATTTAGCTTACTTATCCTAAGTTGACGCTCGAAACCGCAAAGCTCCGGATATTAGCTCAAAGAAGAGAACTTTCAACCAGACCGTCAAGTCCTACAAAAAAGCATTACGGAAAGCTAGTCTCGATCGCATTAAACATATTGGCGCAAAACTCTCTACCAATTTATCTGGCACTAGAGCTTTTTGGTCTCTCGCCAAAGCGGCCGAGACAAACTTCTGTCGGCCTACACTGCCTCCGCTGGTAAAACAGTATGACACACTGGCGCATACGGCTAAAGAGAAAGCGGACTTGTTTGCATCTCTTTTTGCCTACAATTCACGTCTGGACAGTGGCAACAACGTTCCACCAAAATTACCTCACCGCAGGAACTCTATGTCGGAGATTCGTGTAACAAATAAGGAGGTTGTTAAAACCTTGCGGTGTCTAGACGTGAGTAAAGCTAGTGGACCAGATGGTATACCAGCTATAGTTCTAAAGGTTTATGCACCTGAGTTGTCTCCTGTGTTAACACGCTTGTTCCACCTCTCATTTAGGACTGGAATAGTGTCAAAATCCTGGAAGCTGGCCAACGTGCGGCCTGTTCCAAAAAAGGCAGCCGTGCCGACCCTGCCAATTATCGGCCAATCTCAATTACCTCCATACTCTGCAAGATTATCTCCTTAGTGACCGGCAATATAGGTTTCGTCGAAATCGGTTAGCTGAGGACCTTCTTGCATATGACAGTCACGTATGGGGCGAGGCAATCGAGAACAGTCGGGATGTACTTGCTGTTTCCCTTGATGTCTCGAAGGCCTTTGACAGAGTTTGGTACACTAGCCTTTTGAGTATGTTTCCAGCGTACGGCTTATCCCCTGGTTTGATTGAATGGGTAAAAGACTTTCTGAGTGAACGGTCTCTCCGGGTCGTCGTCGATGGCTGCTCATCCGATCCTATGGCGACTAACGCCGGTGTTCCTCAGGGGTCCGTTCTCTCCGCAACTCACTTCCTGCTGCATATTAATGATCTGCTTATACCCGATATCTATGGGTATGCAGACGATAGCACAGTTGTTGAGAGATACCAACCAAGTCCTCGGGCCAGTCGGGATCAAATTCAGTTCGAAAGAGAAGCTATGGTAGAGATGAATCTCACACTACAGGCAGTCTCCGAATGGGGCGATGCCAATCTTGTAAAGTTCAACGCCTCCAAAACACAAGCGTGTCTCTTCACTGCAAAAAGGAGCCAGCACACCCTGGCTCCTTCTTTCCGAATTATATCACTGAAATATACCGACCGCCTTCAGTTGTTAGGGGTTAAAATATTCTCGAATTTGAACTTCGGGTGGTTCATTGAGACCAAGGCCAAAGCAGCTGCAAGGAAGATGGGACTCCTTGCAAAGGTGCGGCGATACTTCACGCCGGGACATCTGCTTACTTTATATAAAGCGCAAGTCCGGTCGTGCATCAGTATTGATGATTGCATGCATTTCGGAGAGTGTGCACAGGAATTGCATAATTTAGTTCCTCCCTCTCCCTTCCACCATCGGACAACCAGACGTTCGGCCAGTCTCCACCCTTTCGTTGTTGACTTACCACGCATTCGAACCAAACGGTTCGCCACGTCCTTCATCATGCGTACAGCAAAGGAGTGGAATAAGTGGCCAACATCTGTCTTTCCATCCGATTACAGTGTGGGTGTCTTCAAGGCAAGAGTGAATAGGCTTTTGTTAAGTCACCATCTTAGGCTACATTACCACTTACCATTAGGTGGGATCGTAGATAAGCGCTGGCTTAGTTGAATATTAAAAAAAACTTACCTTACGTAATAGGGGATAACATAATATAGCATTATTTGCTGATGACACTTCATTAATTTTCAAATTAAAACGATAATTACTAAAATATGACAAAGTAAATAATGCTATATCTAAATTAGTAAATTGGTTTAATGTTAATAATTTGCATTCAAATGGCACTAAAACGAAATGTATGAAATTCATGACTCCAAATGTAAAATATTTAAATACTTATGTAATTTTAAATGGAGACGAACTGAGTCTTGTAGATACCACCATTTTTCTTTGAATCACTCTAGATGCAAAGCTTCATTGGAGTATTATATGAAAATTACTGCAGCATATGCTGTAAAAAAGATTAGAAATCTTACCAGTGTTGAAACTGCTACACTAGTTTACTTTAGCTATTTCCATAACATGATATCGTATGATATTTTGCTATAGCAAATATACACGACTAACACTGAAATTATATTTGTTCTACAGAAGAGTGCCATAAGAGCAATATATGATTTAAAACTTAAAGAATCGCTCCGACAAAAAATTTAAGGAAATTATTATATTATCTTTGACCTCTCAAAACATATATGAAAATGTAATGTACGTACACAAAAATAAAAGTAGTTTTACAAAAGTGATATTCATAATGTAAATACTAGGAACAGACACTAAATACAAGTTAGTAGTACCAGTTACTCGACTCCACCGAGTCAGTAATTCATTCTTGGGACGATGTAAATATACGCTTTTATAACAAAATCCTAGAAAACATACAAAATTCGACGTCAAAGTTCAAAAACTTAATTAAATTAAGTTTGTATAAAAAGGGTTATTATAATATTAAGGAATATATGGATGATAATAACCCCTGGGAATGAGGTGATCGCTATCAAGCTCTTTCTAGTTTGTTTTGTGTGGTTAATTGTGTAACATACGTTATATTGTACGCTGTAATTTTTTTAAGTCCCGCAGGTTTTCTTGCTAGTTCTTCCCAGGATAGAGGTATTTTTTCCAAACCAGTGGTACTTAAACATAAGAATGACTTTCAATAAGATTTATTTATAATTGAATAAAAAAGTTTCTGTTTCTGTTACTACTCGGGTTAATGTTTTATTTGTTTTTTTTTTCTGAAAGGCCATTAGTTCTGCCGTGACCCATTTCAAGGTTATCCATTAATTACTGGACACCGGATATATAATAGTTAAAAGCATCTGATCTAATTGAAGGATTGTACGCTGTACGATCATTTTTATATTGACGGGCTATTTTCATGTTATTTCATCCCAGAACTACCGCGGTTCTTTTTGTTTGTTGTTCACGATAACATGATAATATGAGATAAACAAAATGAGCAAAAAGCAAATTAAAATGGTCCATATGATAGACTTACGTGTTGTTTAATAAGACGATCAGCTAAAGTAGCAAGTGAATCGAAGGCACGAGTTTGTTTCTTGTAATGGCTCGGGTCACCGCCGTACTTAAGCAGCCACTTGCGAACTAACGAATCTATGACTTCATAACGTGACTTCATGCTAGATATAAAAGAAAAAATTATCAAGTTTCTTGTACAATAACGTATTCACGTAACAGCCTATTCACTCTTGCCTTGAAGATGCCAGATTGAATTCATACGGAAAGACGACATAGGCAAATTATTTCACTAACACTAACGTGTGGCGTAAACGACTTCTCGTTTCATCTATCGCCATAGCTGATTAATCCGTCACCAAAACTTACCCTGACAAAACGTCGGGCAACTCGTCAGTGAGATCTTTTAGAAGCTGATCGGCGTCGTCTCTTGTTACTCGCATTGCATCCAGACAGTCGTACAGTAGTTTCGTTATGTTTACGTCGTGTATGAGTTGTGTTTGAGAACCTAGAGGTGTTCTGTAATAAGATGATCACAAGTTCAATTATGTACAAATTTAATTTAATTAGTACTAAATAATCAATTTTTTGTATTGAAAATGTCCTAGAAATGCGTAACTAGTGAGGTTAAGTCGTGACAAAATAGTGCGGTAAAAAAAAAGGTTCTAAGCTAACCCCTTAATTAAAGAACAACTTATTGTTGAAGAAATTTATATTGATAGTTTTGATTTTTATATAAAAACTAACACTAGAACTTACATTGGAAAATACTTTTTACGCTGCAATGGCGTTACGCGTGGTAGCACAGAGAGGTGGATTTGCGAGCGTTCAGATTCGGCCGGCGGGAGCTCTGCTGGCTGAGACACTTGCGACAAAGGTTTTAGTCGCAAACTGTTTATCTCTCCTGATAGTGCCTGTCGGCATGAACATTACTATCAGCAAAATTGTAACGTTGGTATTTACTTTAAATAATATATCAATATTAGTTAGTTATATAATAAAGATTGGTAAAATATTGCTTTATACCTCGATTTGTTGTAATTGCTGCGAGCGAATTATTCGAAGGCGAACAACGTCTCGTTTATACTCTTCTGGTTCATATCCACCCGCCATAACAGTCGGTTCTTTTGATCGCTGAGACAAAATTATCAGTTGGGTAAAACATATTGTAAATATTACAAAAAAAAAACAATTCTTTACAAAAATAAATTCTAATAAATCTAGAAAATTATATTTAAAATTAAAGGCTGCAGAAACTATTTATTAAATGCCTGTGGTTTTCTTCGATATAAATTTGCTTTGGTGAAGGAGGTGTACCAAACCAAACACTTGTTACTTAACATTGGGACTAAAAGTATTTTATATCATCAAATAATAAAAAAAATAAAGCGTGATTCATCATCCAAGCATAAAAAGTTTTCTTTCGTAATATTCGTAATAATGCAATTATATCCCGATCATCCTCGTTTTCTACTCTTTTCACTAGATTACGAAGTTAGTCGTCGCTCAATGCAATCTTTGTTGTTGAAGAAATAAGATCACAACAAATTTTTCCAACTGGGATAGGTCAAAATATTATTTATTTGTAACAACACTACAACAACAAAAACCTCAGTCCACTGCTGAACATAGGCCTCCCCTTAGATTGCCTCATCAGGGAGATTTTGCTGAAGAGATTAAAGATGATGCTGCCCATCGCCTGGTTTGTTTCCCTCTGTCGTCTCTTACGACACCCACGGGACGATATGAGGTGTTGGATGCTCGTACACCGCCACTACACGGTTTCATTTGTTGAAAACGAAACTACTGAACTGATATGTCCATTAAAATAGTTTAAATCATTATGATTAGTATGTAAATATCAAATATATGAATAACCTTTTGTGGCAAAACATCCGCTTGTAGAGCGGCTGCTAAACGAAGTCGCTCCGAATACTGGTTAAGGAGTTTTAGATACTTCTTTTCCAATTCGCCATGACGTTCCTGTGCGCAATAAGAAATAGAAATATAAATGTTAATATATTCTTATATATACAGAGTTAATGTTTTGTTGTTTTTTTACACCTTTGTAATTAACGAACGGTGAAATTATTTGTAGATCGCCAGAGGAAAAATAAAAAATCAATAATGGCGATCTACAAATAATTTCATTATTTGTCATCATCATCATCATCATTACAGCCCTTCACAAGTCCACTGCTGAACATAGGCCTCCCCCAAGGAATGCCACAAAGCACGGTCCTGAGCCACCTGCATCCATCGACTTCCTGCATATTTTACCAGGTCGTCACTCCATCTAGTGGGAGGACGCCCTACACTTCGTCCGCTGGTACGAGGTTGCCAGTCGAGAACATTTCTTCCCTATCGGCTGTCGGTTCTTCGAGCTATATGGCCGGCCCATCGGTCAGTCATGTCATGTCGTCGGTCGGTCACTCTGGTTATATTGCGAATATCCTCATTTCTAAGTTTATCATGCAGAGAAACTCCAAGCATAGCCCTCTCCATAGCTCGCTGAGCGACCTTGAGCTTCCTCATACGACCAGCAGTGAAGGACCACGTCTCAGTATCATAGGTCAACACTGGCAACACGCACTGGTTGTACAGTCTTGTTTTCAAGTTTTGAGGTATACCTGACGAGAAGATGTGCCGTAATTTCCCTAACGCTGCCCAGCCGAGTTGAATCCGTTGATTGACCTCTCGGTCGAAGTTGGACTTACCTAGTCGGACTATTTGTCCCAGGTAAACATACACGTCAACATCTTCGAGTTTAGTGCTCCCAACAACTACCGGCATAGGTGTGACATGGACATTAAACATGATCTTTGTTTTGTCCATGTTCATCTTAAGACCTATCCGTTGGGAAACACTATTGAGGTCATTGAGCATAGTGCTTAGGTTCTCCAGCGATTCTGCCATAAGGACTATATCGTCGGCAAATCGAAGGTGAGTGATGTACTCGCCATTGATGTAAATACCGTATCCTTTCCAGTCCTGAAGCTTGAAAACGTCTTCCAATGCAGCAGTGAAGAGATGTATGTGGTCTATGGTGCTAAAGCCTTTTCGGAAACCGGCTTGTTCGGGAGGCTGGAAGTCGTCAAGTCTGCGCGCGAGACGTTTCGTAATGACTCTCGAAAACAGCACGTAGACGCGGTTCAGAAGGGAAATCGGCCTGTAGTTCTTCAAGAGAGCGTGTCACCTTTCTTGAAGAATAAGACCACCGCACGTCTGATCTACGCCTCCGGTGTAGTGCCACCATGGAGGACGGAATTAAAGAGCTTCTGAAGGACTTCAAGCTGTAATTCCATCCTCGCCTGGGGTCTTGCCGTTTTTAAGATGCTGGAGAGTCATTCTAATCTCGCTCAGACTGACGTCCGGGATATCATCGGAATAATGTCGGATAAGACTCGCTCTTGGATCGTTACTCACACTTATGTATGGCTTCAACAATGATGTGTACAACTGCCCATCGAACCTCTCAATCTCACTCAAAATCTCAGGTGCCCCGGAAACGATGCTGCCACATTCGGTCTTCAGCTTTGACAGTTGGCTCTTTCTGGCAGACAGGTCTCTGGCAAAGACTTTAGAGCCTTGGTTCCGCTCGATCGCTTCTTCAATACAAGCTGTATTGAAGTTGCGTAAGTCCCGCCGCATGCATTTGGAGATCTGCCTGTACAGTTGCCTGTATGCTGTCAAATCTGTTGAAGAATGTAGCTTCATCTCCCGTCTAACAGCCATGAGATTGAGAGTGTGATCGGAGAGTTTTTGTGTTCTTCTGCGGCGAGTCTTGCAGAATTTAGCTTCGACCGCATGGACAGTTTCTACGAGCTTGTCATTCAAATCGTCCACTTCATTGCAGTCTTCTAGGCACTGAAAACGGTTTTGTAACTCGAGCTAAAAGGTTTCGGGACTCTGGAACAGAGCATGAGGGGGACGGAGCGTTGACTTCATTCGACGAGACCTCTCCAACTTAACGTTTAGGTTTAGTGTGCCTCTAACCATTCGGTGATCGCTACCAGTTTTCACCCTCGCGATCACGGAGACATCACTGAACAGTTGTCGTCTGGTCGTCATAATGAAGTCAATCTCATTTTTTGTCTGAACCGTCGGGGCTCGACCAAGTCCACTTCCTCTGGGGCCGCCTCTGGAAGAAAGAGTTCATTCATAAAGAGTCCCTCTTTCTCCATGAAGTCGCGCAGCTGCTGGCCCCTTGAGTTTCGTTGCCCTATTCCAAATTTCCCTATTTTCAGCTCACCGTTCTCTCTTGTGCCTAGTTTTGCGTTGAAGTCTCCCATTAACACCGCCGTATAGTGGGTTTTGGAGGAATGCATGGCTCTAGAGATATCCTCATACCTTTCCTCCACTTACTCATCGGGGTGTGCCGAGGTTGGTGCGTAAACCTGTATGACCTTCAGCGAATACCGTTTGGTAATTCTGAGTATAAGGTACGCAACCCTCGTCGACACACTCTCAATCTTTACAACGTTGTTAACGATAGACTTGTGGACGATAAATCCGACACCTCCTTGGGAGATGGTCGCCCTCCCGGTGATAGAACAAATTGCCGGATTCGAGGATTACCGCGTCCTCCCCCTCTTTTCGGACTTCGGATAATCCTATGACATTCTAGCGCAACTGGTCTATCTCTTCTTCCAGCTCCAGAATCTTCTCGTCAGTCCTCAGGGTGAATGCGTTATAAGTTGCCAGGTCGAGTCGTCGTAGGTGGCAACCGAACCTCCACCGGAGAGTCTTAATATCCCCTGCCCCGCCGTCACCATGGTCGCCACCGTAGCCAGGAATAGCGGGGCCGTCGGGGACTGGGGCCGTCTCTTTGTTACTTTCATGGAGGGTATATTACCATAGTTTATATTATTGTTGTATTGCTGTTATCAGAAAGATGATGTTGCCCATCCTCTGCCTCAGTTTCCCTCTGTCGCCTTTTAGGACCCACGGGAAGATATGGGGTAGTGAGTATTCTTACCCGCCACTACAATTATTTGTAGATCGCCATTATTGATTTTTTGTATTTTCTTTATATTATTTGTAGATTCGGCATTATTGAATAGAGAAAACATTCTCTATTCAATAATGCCGAATTTAGAACACACAGCCAAGTGTGGGCAATTCTATCAAGATATGTAATCTTTACCCTGTCGTGTCTTGCCGGCCATGCCAGGTCTGTATTCCGCCGTGGATTAAGAAGATCAGTGATAAGGAAAGTTGGAACCGTTTGATTATATTGTACATATATTTTAGGTCATTGAGTTTATGGACTAAACGCTCACCATACATTTCATAGTACACAAGCAACCCGGGATAGATCCTCGAAGACAAGGCAATTTTAAGTGCTAATTTTCTATGTGATCGGCGGTAAAGAAAAAACCCTGAGGTATAAAATAATTTTTATATGTGGTTAAATAATAATAATTGAAACTATTCTATTAATGAGTGTGAGATTCCATTTAGTTTAAAAAAATAAATAAGCATGTTTTACTCTGTGCAATATGGGGGAATTTGATACAAAATTTAAAGAGATTTGATAAAAAAGAGAAGACTTACGTGCCACTGTCGAAGTTGTTGCATAATTTGTGTTAAGGAGCCTAAAGTGGCAGAAAATTTGTGTCGACGTGTCATTTGTCGCAGCAAATCGTCCAGAGTACGATCGACGTGACGTGGTTTGCCCAGTTTTCGAGTTAGCACATCGCGCATTTTTGCTCGTAGTTCTTGAGCTTGCGCTTCCATAGCTTTTAGGTCAATATTCATACGGAAAAGATGCGTGCGATTTATCCTGAAATGTCATTAAACTTGGATATGCCAACGCAGTTTTTTAATCATTTTTAGTTGTAATCATGTAGATGCATTCCATTCTAGTTTTCATTTCCCTCTGTCGACTCTTACAAATCCACGAATATAGGGAGGTGGATTTTCTTGCACTCCCACTACACGGCAGTATATTAAAACTTTATTTTAAACTAGTTGTTCTCCGCGTCTTCGAAAATTTTAATTATGTTACGCGGAACCCTAATTCTTTTTCTAAAATATAAGTAGCCTAAGTTACTCCTTATAACATCAGCTATCTGCCAGTGAAAGTCCCGTCGAAATCGGTCCAGCCGTTTCGGAGATTAGCCGGAACAAACAGACAGACAGACAAAAATGTTAAAAATTGTGTTTTTGTTATAAGTGCCGTATATAATTTCATATGCATTTAGAAAAGCTAGTATTTTGACATTACAAACAAACACTTCAATTTTATTTATTTGTATAGATCTAGTATTTTTAAAATATTGTAATAAATGATTGTGTACATTTAGTAGTTTTCTTTGTCGTTATATATTCATATAGGTAACTAAAAAGTTTTCACTATGCGTTATAATTATGGTACGATTGGTAGTATAATTTAAAAATAAAATAATAGAATGATTATGTTTTTTTTTTTATAGGATAAGGGTGACAAACGAGCACACAGTCCACCTGATGGTAAGTGGTTGTTGCGGCCCATAGACATCTACATCTATCTATTACAAATCAAAATGTAGATGCGTTGTCACCCGTGAGGGCTAAGATGGAATGCCTCATTTCCAGTAAAAAGGGCCCCCGGCCACCTGCACTCACCAAGCGAAACGCAGAGGTAAACCTCTACTTCACGCTGGTTTTCTGTGAGGTCGTGATACCACCCCGGTTCGAGCCGACCCATCCGTGCGACAGCAAAAGCTGCCGTGTGACTCTACCACTGTTAAAAATGTAGGTTTATATTTATATTTAATTTAATTTATTTATTTATTACCCACTTTTGACGTTGTTTCTGTTGCTTAATTTCGTCTTGCAACTCGACCACTCTTTGGCGCAGTTTCATGAGTAATCTTTCTGGAAAGACTACGGTGTTGGATAGCCCTTGTGCTTCTGTGCAATCGCGAATTGCTGATGCACGGATTTGATCGTAACGCAACACAACCACCTGGTCCACCTCGTTCATACAGCTTTGTTTCTCCATCTATAAGTTTCAATAATGAAATTTTATAAAAACCTCGTAATGATGCAAGAGAAAATAAATTCAGTTGTCATTTATCTATAATAATATAATCTAAGTTTTTGAATTAATGAATGATATTCTCTTTCTGATATTTTCTTTTAAAGTCAATTTTGTTTACGAAAATGGGACACAACAAAAATGTTTCACATTGAATCATGTATTATTTCAATTTAGTTTGATGATCAGCTTCATCGCTTAATGAAGCACTTGGGAGACAAATTCTATACTGTCGCGCTAGCAGATTATTCTTTTGATAAAAAAGAATAATTTGAGTTAAATTTTCCTGAAAATAAAATGTTGTATTATACCAAAAAATCTTCAATTTATGGTTCCGTAAGACATGATCATTATTAGCAACAATATGGACTTATAAAACATATATGGTAGAGCCACGCTTCTCTGTATTATGATTTATGACTGCAGCCTGATCGGTTGGACTGGATATGAATCGAAAAACCCTATTTCTAGTACTAGTGCATCGTGCGTTCCATCTTAATCCTCAGGAGTGCATGCAGTACAATGCATATGTAGTTTGATTCAGCGAGGATAGATTTAAATGGTTATGGGTCACACTCACAGCATTTAATTAACGTTAGGTGGACAGTATGCACGATTGTCACGCACACCTTTATAATTTGATTTCAAATTTACAATTTTGCTGTTAGGTAGTAATGTATCTTGTAAAATACATCTTGTCTATTATTTTATTTACTTTGGTTATCATGAAATCGTTTCTAAAATGTTTGTAAAAAATGTCTACCATAAATTCCTTGAGATCGTTCTTCCTCTTGTCCAGTTGCGTAGACAGCGTTCGTTTCACTTTGTTATGAGCATCAATGTCCTTGCGCAGAAGATCTATAAGCCGATCTTTTTCCAGCATTTCATGCTCATATTGATGTCTGTAAATAATAACCCCAATATTTAGAATGCACTTTTTCCAATAAGAATGAATGCCGTTTTGTACTAGTGGTTTTAATTAATAACATTAGAATGACAAACAAGCTAGTGGAAATTCCACAAAAATAATATAATAGAATAATTTTCTTCTTTATTAGATCATATAAGTCAATGGCCCCTACCGTTGTAGGGAAGATTGGTATTAAACGTTCGACGTTCACGTTACCAGACTTCTTGAGAGTTTGTCCATGGAAAAAATTGTATAATCGTTTGACATTGCTCCCTGTCCCAAGTCTGTATATTTTACGTCTGGCGTAAACCTATCGGAAACCAAACATTTTCCTGCCATTTCTCATAGTTGCCACTCACGACATTCAAGAGACGAAATGGAAATCGCCACATAATTTATCAAAATTTTCTTACGCTGGCAACAGTCGGCTAATGATTAAATAATTCATAAGTAAAAAATAACATGATGTTGTTGTTAAACGCCAATTGACCCTCAGATTCAAATTGACATTCAAGATCTGATATGTTTAGCATCGAAAACATATAATGTGACATAAAACTTATTTAAATTCCTAGCTGTCCCGGCAGACGTTAATCTGCTTTTTCTGCTAAATAATACAATAAGTTTTACTACTCTCTGCACTTTTTACAATGTAAAAATAAAATTTTGTAACAATCCGACAGTTTAATAACAGCGTCAATTATCGAGTCCAGATTTTGTGATTTTATCTCTCTACAACAGCTCCACTTATCGGATCCTTATATATTATATGAACTATCGTCTAAACACAGAAGTATATTGAAAGAAAATTCCGTTGATTCGTTCAAAAGTTACAAGATGAACAGACACACCAACGATTATAAGAGATATTTTTGATTATAACAAAATTAAGTACACTGAGTTACTGCGTGTTGACGTAAAAACACTAACCTGTTATTACGGAGTTCGTAAGTTTTATCATAGATTGCTTTGTCGCATCCTTCGGGACATACATTAGGATCTAAACGTATCGGGCCAATATCACGGCTGTCGAGACTCCCTTCATCTTCTTCCTCACTGGATGAACTCGACGATTCAGATTCCGATGACTCTTTAGAAAATATTTTAAATTTAAAATGAATGCAATAATAAAATTGAATAAAATTGTTCAAATTCAATATATTTCAGATACTTGTGGAGGGTTCTGAAATTATTATATAAGTTACAAGAATTTAATTTCGAAATATAATAAATATAAAATGGTGGCGATTGATGTTTTCGTTCCTTAAAACTTAAATAGAGATTATATGTTGATATAATCAAAACAAAAGCTTAGCTTAGCTTGAGTTAGAAAGATGTGTATTTTTTCCGAGTTTGAATAAAAAATTGGTCTTATTACAAAATGTGATTTGTTGATAGTCTCGAGTTTAAAGAAGATTCTTTGTCACGAAAGAAGTGGAGAAACCGTCTTCGCCTAATTTGACATTTGCTGTGAAATTCTACACATAATATAAACATACATAAACACCCACGTCTGTCACTCAGGGGGGTAGACAGAGCCTACGGACTTCCATTTGACACGATCCTGACACACCTCTCCCGCTTCCTTTACATCCATATATCTATACATACATCCTCGTCGGTTAAGAGTACTCTTAATCTGGCCCATCTTCAATATATCGCTAATTTTGTCGATAATCTTTCGTCTAGAGCGTTCCTTCCTGACTCTGCCGTTCACTTCTGCAACATAGATTTGATTTGAAACTCTTTCCTCGTTCATTATTTCTACATGACTAAACTACCGAAGCATTCCTTCCTAATTCTGGTCACAACATCATCTTGCATATCACATTTTTCTCTTGTCATAAAATTTCTCACTCTTCAGATAACATACTCAAAACCATAACATACTCTTTAATAAAATAAAATACTGCATTTCTACAGAATTTATTTTACTCTAGTGCGTCTTCTGCCTCACCTAACTTTCACTAACACGTAATAAGGTACCAAACACAGCATTGTGCATTAAAATACGTGGCTTTTTTGACTCATTCTGACTTCTTACAATAGAGGGTAGAGCCCCAATTCCTGCGTTCACTTGTCGTTCTATAACCTTATTATATCTACGATCCCTGCTTAATACCATCCCCGTTTTGCTTTCTTCTCTTACAAAAACCATTACTTTTGTCTCACTTGTGTTCACTTTCATTCTCTTTTTTAATTACCTGTACCAAAGGCATTTGACGGTTAACTCACCCATTCTTAACCCACATTCTTCAACTTTAAAAGTTTCCAAACAACTGTCAAATTCTACACTTAAATTTTTCATTTCGCATATTATCCCTGGGACTTCTTTATGAAACAGACTCGTTTAAAGCTGAGAATAATTATAAGTTTTTTTTTGTAATAAGATGGAAAAATTTGGACTTCATAGCTTTAAATATCAACGAAGCAAACAAATATTTAGCTTGAAATATCAGTCAGGATATTGGTTCCAGTAATTTTTTTTTGTAATGGTAAGTGGTACGAAATATCTTGGAATACTGCAGCGTAGTATGGAATCCCCAATATTTACTCACATAGAATCGAAAGGATACAAAAGAGATTTCTTTTGCATTTATCTTACGATCATAACCTAGTTAAAACTCTTAGAACTTACGAAGATAAGCTACATTACTACTAAGCTTCAGTCACTTTCGAATCGAAGACAGCTCCTTGATCATATTTTCTTGTATAAGTTGGTGAATGGCGTCATTGATAGTTCCTATTTACTAGCCATATTAAATTTTCGTACCCCATTGAAGTCAAAAAGGCCGTCGTATTTTATAGTACCATTCGTAGAAAAGAGCACATGTTCACGTCAAGCGCGCTATTCTCCGATTAATAATTAGATTGATATTGAGTTATAATGTTATATATGAATTATTACATAAGAATTGTATTAGTGCCATAATTACTATGTACTGATAATAATAAACATAAAGATAGAAAAGTTGATATTGACATATTATTTTCAAATAATCTTTGGAAATTTAAACGTGATTTATTACATTTACATTCCTCAAATAAATGTAATTCACAGTAAATTTTTTTTTCTTACTAGTAATATAAAAGCTAAATTGTGATTAACTAATGATTGTATATTATAACTTATTAATGATTTCATTTTTGTTATGTTTAACGTTTATAAAATTTCTAATGTAAATAACAGTAGCGGATTATGCATGATTTAATTTAAATTGTTATATAATACTAAATTCTGATTTAATTTATTGATCTCTTAAATTTTGTATTCAATTTAATTCACACCTGTAATTAAGTCAACACTTAGTTTTTATGTTTTTTTTTTGAAAAAATATGCTTTTGTTAGTGTATGTCTTGTTGGTGTTAAATAAATAAATAAATAATTATTATGTATTTTTATGAAAGTACAATATGCAATAATAATGGCTACCATCGTCATCCCTGTCACGAGGTGGTCTGTATTTTTTCTTAAAAATTCTTCTCAAGAAATCAGCAAATTTATTATCCTGTACGAGTTGTTTAAACTGGCGTTGCATTTCCTGGCATGCGGTATCCAGTTGTTCTTTTTCAGTCTTGTGCTCTTCGATACGTTGCTCGCAGTCTTGAATTTGATCTTGAATACCGCGAATCTGAATGAGGTAATGTTTTTATTTTTTATTTGGTCATGTTGAATCACAACAATTAAAATTTTACTGATGTTACTAGATTATATGAGGTTAAACTTTTTTTTTTCTTTATAATTATAAAACGTTACCCCCACACTAGGATTTTCTCCTGTGTCGTGGAGGCAGTTTACAAACATAAATTGCACAAGGACAAACATCCAGACCCGGAACAATTATTTGTAGACCATACAAATACTTGTTCCGTGCGGGATTCGAACCCGCGGCCCCCAGCGCATCAACTCATTGCTAAGCCACTGCGCCACGGAGCCGTCAGTCACGGAGTCTGTAATTATACTGGCTCTATCCATCAGACATAGATATAATACAAAACACAGCAGTACATGCACTGCTATTTGGCGTACTAAATACATAGACTATTAACTAGGCAGAAAAGTAGTAAAAGACGGAGCCGTCTAATAATATGTTTATAAACTAATAATAAACTAATTAATATGTTTTAAATAACAATTAATAGTAGTTACAGAATTATTCCTACTTACCTGCATCAGTTTAGCGTAAACGCGCTCAGCCAGTCGATCTTCTTGCGCTTCGAAACGGTTCAGGACGTTCATTTCTTGATGCAATTGGTGTAAGTGAAGTTCCAGAAGCTCATTTTTTTCCTAATAAATGTTCACATTGATAGTTAAGTCAATCTGCGTGAATTTACTTTTCGAATTTCATATGTAAATAAGTTAAAAAAAGTGAATAAGATGGAGAAAAATGTGAAATCTAACCTTGGATATCCAAAATTTATATTAAATCTAAAATTACTGGATAAAAAGAGTAAAAACTGTGTTTCCATCACCGCCAATTGAATTTACCCATGAGTGTGTACCTGTACTCGTATGCGTTCTCTCTGTAGTTCTCTGAGACGGGAATCGAATTGTTGTACTGAAATCGCAGCATCCGCTAGTAACATGTCTTGTTCATAAAGATGTCTGTGATTAGGGCATAAAAAGTTTTTATAAATAACAAATCTATAATATTATTGTAAATACTAAATAAAAATAAAGCATAAAGTATTCTAATACAGATAAGGGACACATTGTCGAAAATATCTATCTATCCGAGTACAGAACCAGAGTATGAAACCCATCCAACTGCAGAGAGGTGTAAGACAGGTTGACGCTATATCCCCGAAACTCTTCACCGCTGTATTGGAAGACGTTTTCAAGCTACCGAACTGGAAGTGATACGGTATTAACATCAATGGCTAGTAGAATCGTTGGAGGTGTAGTCCTTATAACAGAATCGCTAAAGGATCTAAGCACTATGCTCAATTAACTCAATACTGTCTCCCAACGGATAGGTCTTAAGATATACTTGGTCGAAACAAAGATCATGTGTAACGTCCATGTCACACCTATGCCGCCAGTTGTTGGGAGCACTAAACTCGAAGTTGTTGACAAGTATGTTTACCTGGGACAAATAGTCCGACTAGGTAAGTCCAACTTTAACGGATCGACGGATTCAACTCGGCTAGGCAGCGTTCGGGAGATTACGACACATCTTCCCGTCAAGTATACCTCAAAACTTTAAAATTGACTTTGGATCTGAGACGCGGTCGTTCACAGATGGCCGTATGATGACGCTCAAGGTCGCTCAGCGGACCATGGAGAGAGCTATTTCTGGGGTTTCTATGATTAATAGACTTAAAAATGGGCCAGCTATGTAGCTTGAAGAACCGATAACCGATGCGGAGGAAAAGTTTTCGAGTGGCAGCATCGTTGCAGTAGGCGAAGGCTTCGATGGAGTGACGACCTGGTAAGACATGCCGGAAGTCGGTGTATGCAAGTGGGTCAGGACCGTGCTTTGTGGCATTTCTTGGGGGAAGCCTATGATCAGCAGCGGACTTGTGAATGGCTGTAATGAATGAATGGATGAACGTTGAAAGTAAAATGTACAGTTGAAGATTAGTTATTTATAATTATAGAATTAAGGAAAAATGTAATGGTTAAGGGTTCGACGCGAAATTGAAAGTCGTGGGTTCGAATCCACCATTCGAGTAATTTAGTGAGCCACGCCTAATACAAGCATTTTAAACGTACTTGGAGTGGTTGATTTTGAATTGAAGGATAGAATTAAAAGCATGAAGACTATTTTTTTTAAGTAAAATCAATTTAATCATTTCTTATATTTACACGTATACTAGACATTTAATAAAACTATTTTTTACGAATTTTATCACGTTTAATTAAACTTATTTTTTTCTTATTTTATATTCAAAAGATAAAGGAAGCCCGGGTTAATTATGACATCGAGACGTCAAACACCCAGTCCCCACGTGACTATAGGTGTAATAAAGCACCCGAAACGTCGGTAATTAAAATAAGTAAGTTCAATTATACGCAATAAAAATCTGTAAACATTAGTTTTACTAAAAGATTAATAAAACCAAAAAGAAAGGCGGTCAGCGCTATGAAATATCTCATTAGAAGCATTTTCCTAGACGGGCTAAGATATATTTTCACAATTAGCCAAATTAAATATTAAAACAAGCAGTGCCCTAAAATTTCCACCTTCTTTAGCATGGAGCGGGATTTCGTTAGGAACAAAGGGCTAGTCTGATTATTTTAACAATGAATTAAACTAGTGATGTATCAAAATTATTAAATTTAATTGTCATCGAATGCATAATTAATTAGGAACAAAAATTTCGTGTTACCTTTTAATACGTCTTTCACGAATATCGACTTCTATTGCTGAAGACTCTTGGTCTTGTTTAATTTTTAAAAGTTCCCACGTGGCTGTTAGTGGGCGACTTTCTGGAAAATGAATTAAAAAATCAGATATATCTTTTTTATAAATAACTATTTAAGTTAAATATTATTTTTAACTTGGTCAAACTACCAAACATTTTTGTAAGATAATCTTTTTAAAATTCATTAAAGATTAAGATCGTGAAAAATTGTACAGTAACATTCATGTAGTCATAACATATGTTACGTAAATGACTAATATAAGGCTTAGATTATATCATAACAATATAGAAGTAAAAGTAAAAGTTTATTAATCAAAATTGTATTGTAAAGTTATGAAAACACAACAGTTGTATGAAAAAAAAAAGAAATAATAACAAAAAATCTTAAGCATCAATTTGCTTAGAAACTAAATTTAATATGACAGATCAAACATCTTGTTATTCTTTTTTAATCTCGAGATAAGAAAGAGTGAGCACCACTTTTGTTGTATCAAATGCTATCAAATTACTAAATCAATTTTGGAGAAATTAAATGAATTTGGCAAAAAATAAAAATAAACTAAAGAAACGCTTAAAAATAAATTTGGTTCGCACAATCATCATATTTTATAAAACTCTTTTGAATCAAACGCTAATTCAACAATTTCACTTTTTTACAACAGAAACTTCAGGTTGTACTAACATCACGATCTACTTTTCTTGTTGCAATAAATTTTAGTGTTGGTTTATTAAAAGTTTCATATACACTCGAAAACATTACGCTCCTTCTTGGGTAGTCGAGTGAAAAAAAGTACTGTGTATTCTCAGCTTAACTATCTATCATGACTATAACGTAACACGTTATTTGTATTTTATTTTTTTGTATTTATTTGTAAACACAAAAACGTGAGGGACATTACCTAATATTTAAATTATTACTTTATTGCAGAACTTAACAAGTTTAGCTGTGGATCATTACGGGCTATTAATAAGAAGAACCTCGTTCTTACGACTGGTCGTTTTTTTGACCATTTATTCGAGCACTGAACAAGTATTTGTATGGCTTGCAAATAATTGTTTCGGATCTGGATGTTTGTCCTTGCGCAATTAATGTATGTTAGCTGCGTCAATGAAACAGGGGAAAGTACTAGGGCAATGTTTAAATTTGTTTTTAATTTAAATGAGATAATAACTAATATATAGTTTATAGTTATTATTTTTGGTTACTTTGTTTAGAACTAATAGCATAATGTTGATTTTTATTTACATAGCTAATAAATAAATAAAACAAAACCTGTAATAGGTATAAATCTTGGAACTCGCGGCTGACGTACTCGTGGTTGGGGATAAACTAAGGACTTTCTTCTTTCCTGTTGTATTTTTTTAGTCGCAGTTAATTTTGGAGCCGGTTGAATAACGTCCGGTTTTATCTGTAAATAAATTTTCAAGTAACGGTAATTCTTACCGTTTCAAAATAAATGTAGTCACCGGATAAAGTAAGGCGTCAATTTTGAAGCACCTTTATATCCTATGATTTGTTTGTCTTTGTCTCTATGAGCATTTTAAAACGACTGCTTGATATAAGGCTTCTAAAGAATGCGTCAGGCCCCAGAGAAATTGTTACATCATTCACTATAGACGCATATCTGATAATTAGTTTGGTTAAACCATCGAAATGGACTGTAGTTAATAACACCATTTTTCATAACCTACCGCATCTTCTTTTTTAACCCTTAAATTGATACTGTATAACACAATATACACAATATTTAATAAAATCTATGTGCATATATATAACTTTATTTAGGGTTTTCTGACATCACCTCGGTGGCAACATTATTAAAAATGTGGTAAAAAAATAATTGATTGACCTAGCAAAATTTTTGGCATTATAAAATAAAAAATGTCGGTGATAATGAAACAAGTAACATTTAGCAAGGTAAAAATCCTTTGTTTTGTTTTTATTTTGACTGTGTTTTATGCGTGTTACAGTGTTATTCTGTGCTTTAAATGTCAATATATACTAATGCATACTAATTTTCACTAAATAACAATATAACATATTTTAATTCAGCATCTAACTTTTTGTGTTTCACCATAATATACACTGCCAATTTCATAGAAACTTATCGCTAAATTTGCTTGTATGTCACGATATACATTGCCAATTTGAGGCTATGTTTTTTTGTTAATTTATATTTTTGTTTGTGTGTCATGCATGCATTTGCTTAGGTGTTATGTTTTTCTTTGCCGTCAGCAAAAGCTACTAACACGTAGTGATAGAATTAATGCACTTGTGCCTGCTAAAAAAGCTGTTTCCGAGTGTTACGAAAAGTCTGATGCCGCAGAACTCTAAATACCTCATCTTATTCTTCTTCGCCACATTACTCTATTGATTGTTCTCTAGAAAGATGCAATACTCTGAATACGAGAACGACAATGATCAAAGCCAAAGCATTCGTCAAACAACTATAATTCATGAAAGAACAATGGCAGACTTTCATACATAAAATTAGTTGAGAAGAAATGGTAGCGTCTATATACCAAAAATATCTTAAAATGTTAAGCGTCAGTCCCTTAATAACTCCGTCAAAGAATTTTGTCCTGAGAAGGCGTCAAAAAAAAGATATTTACATTTGAACCTTTTTAGGTTATGTCCTATGTCACTTGGAAAAAGTCATGTTTCCTGTGGTTGTTTGATGTTAGCTTAATACAAAATACATAATTAAGAGTTTTTAGATTATTGTATCTCTATTATATACACGATTGAATAGGCTGTATAGTCGTTGATCATTGCCTGTTTTGAAGGAGACTTGGTAATAAATTCGAGTTTTAACTTGTCATGCGCATTTGACATTGTGGTTGTGTTTGTGGATATATTTCGTATTTTATTTTCGTGAATTAATTTAATTTGACCCCTGGGTTTTCTCTCGATTTACAGGACAGTCGGTTGTTGTGCTTACATAATGACAATAATGTGTTACTTGAGTTTTGAGAGGAATAGAACAGACATGTACAGCCTCCAGCTGCTTTTCTAGATGACATTTTATTAATAATTGCAGAAAATAATTAAACAATTAAAAAAGTTTGAGTTTTATTTTATTTTATAATAACTAAAAACCGGCATCCTTTTCTGTTCGTTTGAATTTATTGAAACAACTTATCCCAAGAACGAGTGATTTTACTACATAACTTACAAATAATAAAACAAAATGAAAATGACGGCTCCGTGGCGCAGTGGCTTAGCAATGAGTTGCTGCGCTGGGGGCCGCGGGTTCGAATCCCGCACGGAACAAGTATTTGTATGGCCTACAAATAATTGTTCCGGGTCTGGATGTCTGTCCTTGTGCAATTTATGTTTGTAAACTGCCTCCACGACACAGGAGAAAATCCTAGTGTGGGGGTAACGTTTTTTTAAAAGAAAAAAAGAAATAAGAAAAAAATAATAAAATAAAAACAAAACCCCAGGCCCTACAAAAATATGATTTTTTGTAATAAGTAACAAATAATAAAATCTTGAAAATAAGATAAATAAACTTTGTTCACGCCGGGCTCAAGCTTGTATGGAACGAAGTTCATCTCCTTTACCTAAGTTATTTGTAGGTACGGTAGTCTGTACTGTTTTGTTACTGTCAAGAACCCGCGAAATTGCCAACTTGATTTCATACCAGAAATTGATAATAGTTTTATTATTCCTTAAATAAAGTACAATTTTTTTTCTTAATTTATAGTTTTATTTTAACTTATTTGTCACTCCCGTATCATCAAAATGTGATTAGATATGTTTTCATGCAGTTGTCAGTGTAAACCAGGTCATTCATATTTCTTTTAAAAAGTAATAAATACAGATTTTTCATTTATCCATCTAAACTCCAGTTGTATTCAAGAAATTCACATATTTAAGAATTTTTTAGTCTACCAATTTAAGAGTTAAAGATATCCATATGAAATGTCTTGAAGGAGTTGAAAAAACTTGTTACGAAAAATCCCTATGTCGGAAAATTCAGTATTTCACTATATACTTTGTTTAGGACATTGGTTTGAAGTTGATAATGAATAGGTTCTTTTTGGATAAATATTGACTAGAAGCCAGTAAATATGATCTATGAATAAAAATAAAACAATGTGGCAGTAGTGTAAAAAAATCATCACTTTAGTGGGTTCTGTGAATACCATAGGAGAGGTGTATGGTAAATGCCAGAAAGATGGCATTGCATTATTATGCTCTGATAAGAAATATATATATTTACGACGATTTTGGTCATGGCAATGTACTCCCAAAAATTATTGTAATTTCCACTATTTATGTTTTCTATTTTCTGGGGATCATAAAGGATTCTTTGACGTTGTAGAGCCAAGCTGCAGCTATATTATTGTTGTAGTACGAATGGGTCGGCTCGACCGGGGTAGGACCACGCTCTCACAGAATACCAGCGTAAAATGCTGCTGTGTTTCGTATGGTGATTGTAGGCAACCGGAGACCCTTTTTACTGATAACAATGCATTCCAACTTAGTCCTCAGGGGTGACAACGCACCTGCATTTAGATGTAGATGTCACACAGCGTTCACTTACCACCGTGTGGACTGTATGCTCGTTTGTCACCCATATTCTATAAAAATAAATAAAGCATAATAGGACATGTTCAAAAAAGCCCTTTGTTTATTTAACAAAGTTTATTTTTGGTAGTATTTGAATTAGATACTTTTTTATATTCACTTGATCAGACTTTACTATTTGTTTTCATCACAAAATTTATTTTTACAGGAAATAGTACTCGCGACTTTACTTACCTCTAAGTTCTTTTCAGGGAATTCAAGATCGTCGTCAATTACTGGAATTGGAGGTGGTGTTTTAATTAAGTTATGTGGAATTTCAGCTCGAATTTCTGTCAAGCGCTCCCCGATATCTTTCATTCGTTTTACGAGGCGTAATTTGTGCTGCCTTAGTTCAAGAACTTTTTCATTGAATTCGCGTTTAGTGTCGTATATCTGAGGGAAACATTAATATTAAAATTAATAGAATTCATCCAATTCATCCGCGGAAAAAAACAAAGTCTTCAATTATTATTCAAGCTCTTCAAAGTACATAAAAAATATCACAAACTTACCAACTGAGCACACACTTTTATTTATATAAGCTTAACATTAAGGTTTAATATGTGACATAAATAATATATGTAAATGTAACTTTAAACCTCTTTTCTTGCCAGGCAAATTCTCAGTTGTGTATTATGTCCAGGCGGGGCGACATAGTCTGGTTGGGTTTTCAAGAGACGATTGCCAATAGTAGCTTCAGCTTCCTTTAGAGCTTCGGCTGCTCCTGGCGGCATTGCATTTGGGTCGGGTTTGCGAGACAAGTGCTCTTGCCACTAATAACATATAAAAGCGATACTTAAAAAAATATTTCGATGAATGACGAGTTTATTTTGTAATATTTATGAAGTTCCGAGAATCATGAATTTTTATCTTTGTAACTATGTATAATATATGTACTAATATGTACTTGTTACCTTGTTACATTGATAAATAAAAATGTATATACACTGATGACACCGTAAGGCGAACCCAGTTGGGTCATAAAGTTAATAAAAATAAAATAAATATTAGTGAAACCAAAAAATTAATTTCAAGTAACTAGTTCCACCAAGTGACAACAATCAATAAACAACAGTTTCACTGCGTAACTGCTACGTCGTTCTAGTAATATTAAATCTAACTAACTACCCAACTATTCTGGGAGACTTAAGTCCGGGTTCAAGATGGAATTGTCTATCATTTTATCATTTTAGCCTTAATTAGGGTTAAAGTATGAAGTCGCCGTTTTAACGAAGTGGCCATTTTTGAATGACATTTGTGAATTAAAAGTAAGTGATACATGAATCATGATTAAAACTGTTTTTAAACAAAAATCATAAGATTTTAAATTCTATTCTGAACTAACTCAAACTCGTCAATCGATCTTTGCTATTATTGCTCCATGATAACGCAAGGAAGGATGTCACACTGCTCTACAAACCGTTTTAACATTACAAGACCTGCAGTCAGAAACCGTCATCCTGTGTACTCGCCAGACCTAGCCCCAGTCTACAACGATTTTTTCCGCTATTTGGACATTCTTGCAAAGCAAAAAAATTTTTCTCAGGAAGCGGTACAAAATACCTGCATAGGTTTTGTAGAATATCGATTCCCAGAGTCTATCGCAAAGGCATATTAAAGACCTCGAGATAGCAAACATGTATAGATAATGAGGATAAATACAACTATTAAACTAATTTACACAATTATATATTATATATAGGGATATAATTTTATAAAAATTAACGTTTGTTCATATTTTATGCGCTGCCATACCGTTCATCAAATTGCGGTAAATTTTTCAAACTATTGTATGCACTTACGCGAAAGTTATAGACATAGTACGAGTACTTACAGTAGGTGGCGCGCTTATCATACCGACAAATTTATTTGAAAATTTTACCATTTAACTTAAATTACTGTCATTCCTAATTTTTTTTTAATTATTAGGAATAATAATTATACATTTAGACTTGGAGACTGTGTGGTATAATGTCAAGAAAGGTTTGGTGGATGTAGCTACCGAAGTATGTGGTGTAAGTAAGAGAACGAATGAAAGGAAAAATAACACGTTATGGTGGGATGATGAGATACGGATGGAAGTTAAAGCAAAGAAGAAAGCATGGCTAGACTTACTAGCAACCAAGGCTAGTAATTATAGCGGTATGAATGATGATATTGAAATA